TAGAAAAGTTCACCATGGGTACGATTCTGATACTACAATATCTTATCAGGTGGCTATTATTGGGAAAATGGGGGTGGAGCGTTGAATTAGGATATTTTAGTCACATGATCAATAATGCCTCAGTAACTGAAGTTTGCTTCAAAGGGGAGCAACTGAGTGCTGATGACTTAAATATTGACTTTCATGAGTGAAGATTTCTTTCGCATCCACCTTTGCCACTTTTCATTTCCATCAAGAATGGATAAGTTTCAAAGATGCGGTGCAATCCTCTTCTTTGAAGTTGAAGAGCTTGAGGAAGGAATCCCTATGCCATTCAAATATTTTTTCTCTTGGCCATCGCTAAACTCGAAGACCTAATTGCCAAAACCTTGCAGTGGCGACTGAAGTGTTAGAACCTGATACAACCCCAAGTTCTCCGAAGAGAACCACTGTATGTCCTCAAGTGGTTTATTATAATTAGGTGGATGAACTACTTAAGTGGTCTTTCAATGGATACTACTATGGATCGCATTCTTGGATCAGTGATGTCGGGATCCATGCTATCTGGTTATGCCACCTCTTTTCTAAGAAGTAATATGAAGCCCCTTTTACGTGGTGCACCCTGAGAAAACGTATTCTCATACGGCAAAAAGGACTGTAAACCGGCAGTTGACTTCTCACTCAAACTACCATGACCCCACTCTTTGTCATATTCCACCACTTCCACATTACTCGCCTTATCCTACTCTCGACTTTTGTGTCTGTCACTTTTACATCTTTGAAACACTCTTCTGTTCCCCCCCCTTTCAATATTTTTCAGCTTGATGTTCCTTCCCCTCTGTGAAGCCGGAAGTCAACCAAAGGGCTAATAATAACTATCCAAACGAGTGCCATTTGATATAAAAAATGAAAATATATTATATTTTGAAACTGTCGCTGGTTTGTGTTAGCTGTCAGGTAATTAGTTGTTTCTCAAATAAATTAGTATCAATGACATGCCAGACGATTCTGCTAGTAGCGCATAAATCTTATCAAGACAAAAGTAAAACACTGACAAGGTAAAATATCAAGCATGATTTTGAGATAATTAAACTCACCAGAGTTCACATAAGTTCTTCTAAGTCTGGAAATATCCTTAATTTTTGATTCTCTCCTTAAAATTTTCCCCTTTAAATAAAGTGAATCAGTGAAGAATTTCGGAACAAAATGATCATTTAGAGACCTCTTTGCGACCATGCAACAAGTGATCCAGGAGGAACATAAATAACGGTCCTTTTCCCCTATGAATGTGGGAAAATTCTGTTGAATAGGCAGTGCTACTAAGAAGAACCCCACTAAATGCAATTATGTCCAGTGGAGTGTAGCGAAGTAAGGAGTAATTTATTAAAACAAGATTTGTGCATTGCTTAAGTCATCGGTGAATTCTCTCTTTCCTCAAAAGTCCATTATATAAAATTTATCGTGAGCGGTCAATTAAAGCTTAGCTACCAAAATGATAGTGAATAGAAATTGTTAAATAATGAAGACATGGATTCAGTTTTATTCTCCTAATACCATCCATTCAGTTAAAATTTGCATAACTTCTAAAGTAGCCATGCACATGAATTGGACAAGTGAATTCTATTATAGATTGCTGGTACCTTTTTTTCAGCCCCAATAAAGGCTGTGTTAATTCGATCTTCCTCAAGATGCATATTAAAGTAGCTTTCATAGAGAAAGAATCATGAATTGGGAGAGGGGAAGATCTTTGATATTGCTTTTCCTTTTTGCGTACAAATTCAAATGAATTTGCATTCAACCGTTGTCCATTTTCTCTTATTACTATTTTATGGTCGTAGATCTTTTATGTAAATTAGCATGCATACATGGAGTTATAAAACTAGTGAAATGTGAGGATATGTGCTTTCGAATATATCTTCAAGAAATGGAAACATCGGCCATGAGAATGATTAAAAAAAGCTTCTTTTCGGTGTTTAAACAGGACTTCTTGTCACTCTTCTCTCGTGACTTCCTGTTCCAAAGGCTGATCGAAAATTTCTGGTTAACTCGATTGAGTTAACCAAGAGTGCATAAAGTACACTCTTAAGTACTGAACCATCGATTTTCGACCACCCCCCCCCTCAACCCACCGGAGAATCGATCACTGCCGCTAGTGGTCAGCAAGTTATCCAATCATTTACCCTACCCTCAGATCCACACACACAAGCATTTATTTTCTTAATGTTTGGTCACTGGGTTTTTCCCCCCTCTCTGAACAATTTGTCAAATGAGAAAATTTTCAAAAAATTCATTTTCCACCAAAAAATTATTGATGTTATTATTATGAGCCTGCAAGTAATTAATGAGGATTGAAATGATGATACTTTGGTAGGTTTTCAATTAAAAACTAACTGTGAAAATGTACTGAATGAACATTGAAAAACAATCTATTCTTTCTTCACTGATTCACTTTCTAAGGCAAAACAAATGTTTATATGCTTCGGTAATTGAATTGAGCATTATAAAGACCTACATAGTATTGTTACCGATATTTAAAGGTCATTATTTGTTATGAACGGAATTCGTAAAATAGAAATTTAATAATTTTCTTTTTCAACGTAAGATTTAGAAATGATTCAATTTGAAGATTCCTTAGTTCTGACAAAATGCTATTATGGTCGGCGTTGAATTGCCTTAATGACTTCAATAGCCGTGGTTTTTCAATGTAGAAAGAGGAAACGTGAATCTTTTTTTCAATTCTGAACTAACCTTTTCAGATACATCGAACAAGTGCCTGAACAAAAGCACGTATACCCCAATTCAAGCTGGATCAAAACATGAACACCACTTACTAATCCCTCCTATTCGATTAGTTAAAGTTGTGAAATGCTTTTAAGTGAGCTTCCATGGCTACTCAGGTGCATTTACAAATAAAAAGTCAATATTGAATTACAAAAGCATTCTATGGAAAAATTATTTATTCAACTGCATTAATGTTCTTTATTTGGCTTTTGTCTACCAGAGGAAGCTTTTGGAAACTGCGCATTTACATATTCCATCAATACGATTTTCTTTCTAATTAGCCAATTAATTGCAAATTGTGAAATGTGGCTTTGTAAAGGAATTATTGTGGAAATATTGCTGGCAAGCAGGGAATTTGTTTCCATATTTTCTTTTCTCTGATTTCATATTAAGCTAAATTAGCGTCATATATGTCATAAAATTTTTCTTGAATAAATTGGTCAGCTGACCACGCCTGAGTTGTTCTGTCAAAGGTCTATTTCAGTATTGAATTTTGCAGTCCGTACAAAAGAGTACAATAGATTACATTGTCATTGAGATTGGGGATGCAATTGATTTGACGGTATGACGAATAACATCGTCAATATACTCTTCGGCGATGAGAAAATAAACTACTTAAATTTAAGTGGGTAGTGCAAAGATCTCGTCTCATTACTTAAATTTCACAATTTAGTTCTTTAAAATCTGAGGCCAGCAGGTGGACGGCTGAACAATCATGTCTGTACCATTAACGTATACTTCATCAGAGGGGGAGGGGAGAGGGGCAAAACGACAAGCTAAACGAAAATGAAGGATTTAAAATGGATAACAAAAGACATTTTTAAAAAGTGTCAGAGTTCGACGAAATTGAAGTCTAAAAATCGGTAAAATAAGGCATAAAAACTAAGTGCAAATACAGGATTGTAACAAAATCGTAGACGTTTTTTGTTTACTTTTTGCTCCTATTTCAGGATTCTGTGTGGATAAGGGTAGCCCCTCGTATCCGTAGTGGAAAGTCATATTTCGATTAACCTAACGTTATTAGTCCGCTTAAACAAAGGATTTTGATGGAAATATAGAAGAAGCAAATAAGACATGGAATTTCAGTATTAAAATCAATATTTCTCCATTTTTTTCAGTTGTATTTAGGATTCTTTTGTTCTTACAATCTCATTTTCCTGGGAATATAGAGTCTAGTCGAATAACTGAAATTCGCACCAAGTTGATTTTTTTATGGAGAAACTTCGTGTTCATTTGGCGTTCTTTAAGCTAATTTATTTCAAATTTGTGTGATTGCAGAGAAAATTCTCAAAGTTCGTACGATTTCTAGGTCAGTTCGGTTGTATTTATTTATATATTTATAATAAATGGCAGGCGTTTTGATAGTAATCATTAGCCCTTTAGTTGACTTCGGACTTCACAGAGGAGGAGGGGGGGAGGAACATCAAAGTGTGAAGAATTTGGGAGGGAGAATAGAAGAGTGATTCACAGATGTAAAAGAGGCAGACAGACACGAAGGCTCAGGAAGGTTAAGATGAGTACTGTGGTAGGGGTCGAATATGACATACAGTGGGGGTGATGGTTGTTGGAAGTGAGAAGTCAACTGCCGGTTAATAGACTTTTTTGCTCTATGATTATACGTTGCCCAGGGTGCACCACGAGGAGGTAAGTCTATCCCACACTCCTCAGTTCGGTTGTAATTTGAAAAGGAAATTTTGAAGGTTCCTATTAGAGTAATCTCATTAATTTTACCATAGGGAAGTCGCCAACTCTATTCCTTGCATTTAACGCTACACGTTTAAGTACTCTCAGCCACCAATCTGTCAACTCGCTCGAAAGCACAACTCAAATGTACCTTGAGAGAACATCATAAAAGTAACTGGCCATGAGTCTTGTTCTGGTTCAGGGATATTCTTCCCACTTTAGAATTATTAACTTTAGAGGCGGGATAAATATGATCTTGATTTACCAAGAAACCATTTTCTTGGAACTTAATGTGTTGGCAAATGCATGCGTGCATGATGGATATCGTAGGCCACTTGTCGTTGAGGTGGTAGCAATAAGTGTTTTATGCCAAATTCCCTCTTGGAAGAATTTTGGCAGACAACGCCAGATTCCTCCTTTGAACTAATAAAATTAAAACCCCAGGTGTGGTATTAAAAAAGATAATTTCATTCAATTTTCCAAAAATAGTCTGACAAGCATGCCAACCGTGAAGGTGGAGGAACCCGGGGNCGTACCTGAAGTTGGCAGGCGAGGCAGTGTCTAGAAGAGCGCAGGCGAGATTCACGGAGGCGTAGGCCAAGAGGAAGAATATGGACACGGCCGGTGCGATCGCGTTCATATCGCCGATGAAGAACACAAGCTAGGGGAGGAAAAAAAACACGAACAATCTATGCACAGAAATTTAATTAAATCTGCGTTTAAGAAACGCAGTAAAAATAGATTTATTCATTTATTTCGAATGGCAGGCATTTTGATAGTTATCATTAGCCCTTTAGCTGACTTCGGGGCTTCACAGAGGGGAGGAGGAACATCAAAGTTAGAAAAATTCAAGAGGGTGAACCGAAGAGTGATTTGCAGATGTAAAAGAGGCAGATACAATGGTAGGGAGTAGGGTTAGATGAGTACTGTAGAAGTGGTCGACTATGACATACAGTGAGGTCATGGTAGTTTGAAGTCAGAAGTCAACTGCCGATTAATAGACTTTTTTGCCGTATGACTATACGTTGCCCAGGGTGCACCACGTGGAGGTAAGTCTATCGCACAACCCAAAGTCAGAAGTCAACTGCCAGTTAATAGACTTTTTGCCGTATGAGTATACGTTGCCCAGGATGCACCACGTGGAGGTAAGTCTATCGCATACCCACAGTAAAAATAGATATAGAGTAGGAAATTCTAACCCGACTCCATATTATTAACCAAGAGTCAGCACCAATTAGTAATCAAGATGTATTTCGAGAACCTCTTATTAATAAGCTCAAATTTTAGTTCTTTCCCTTTACAATACCACCAAATACTGCCTTCAATACTGCCTACAAGTGTCTATGGCCTATGGCACACATTGAAAAATGATGAAACGTGAAGATTTTGGTGAGGACACGAAGTTTCATTAGTCGAAACAAGACCTATTATTGACTAAAAATCGTGATAATGCAATAAATTAAATTAGGAAAGGAAATGACTCAAAACGCACTCGCTTCAAGGCAGGAAGAAAACTAACCTGTACGGCGAAATGCGTGAAGAGAACGGAAACAATGGGATTTCCGCCTTTGGTGGTGTGCTTCATTGGTTTAAGGAGAACGCCTGAAAGGAAACACTGCTCATTAAAACGAAGAAAAGCTAAGAATAACATCACATTGTCAGTGAAATTGTAATTCCATTAAACACAAATCAATATATTTGAATGTTTCAGCGCGCCACACAAACCAGGTGCACAAGTAGCAAACAGCCGCTGCTTCAAAGATCTAGATAAGACAGTAATCAGCACATGCTACTGATAACCATGATGTCCGTTTAATCTTCAGATGTAGACACGGGGCTATTTGCTTTACGAAGTTAGGTTAGCATTCAACTGGCTTAAATTTAGCTTAATATAACGGAGAGAACAAAGTGTAGAACTAGTAGAGGTTGGGGGGGGNGGGGGGAGGGGAGAGTTGGGTTGGACGCATCTCTTTGACCTTCACGCAACGAGCTTACGAAAGAGAGATATTTTGCTGATTTAGTTACCAAGTCACGTCGCAATGTCTGCTTGTAAGCCTAGGAGGTCCTATGGGTAGATTTTGTGTACGTGTCTATGACTAGCAATCCCACTTCCTTTCTATATTATAAACAAATCTAGCAAATATTAATGGAATGGGGGTTAAATTGGTAAAAGTAAAATTATTTGCATAGTTTAATATGAAATTTTAAAAATAGTTTTAAAATTTTTAAAGGCAATTGAGAGTTCTTCTGTTTTGCTGATCACATTGATTACGGTAATTTAATTAAGTATAACATTATATTGAGGATATTCAAAAGCTCACTTTCATGAAAATTCATTGTAGAAAAATTTGTGCGTTTTTAATCACCTTCATGGTAATTTACTTTCTGAACGCGTAAACATGATGATAGACAATTAAGTTGAGAATGATTCGTAATTATGATTTTTTAATATTTCATCTTAAATACGTAACATATCAAGTATACGAATTGGACAATGGACTACCAAGTTATCCACTCTCGCAATTCTTGAAGTAGAGATCCTTAGAGCTTTATGAGTACCGTTCTTCTGCTGTATAGCCAAATGTACGTTGAGCAGTTCAAGAATAATTATGTCCCAAACAAATATCGCATAAAAATTAAATAATTCATGAAAACACCATCTCTGTACCCAAACAAATATTTTCTGAACGTCATGGTGTAAAGGTCTGGTGATATTAAACATTTAAAAACATTATATTTTCAATTTCATCTTAATTCAGTCTTTCGCTGTTTATGTCTGAAGAAAATAGATCTTTAAAATCACATTGTAAAAATTTAATTAAAATATACTTTTTACCTCGAAAAATTCGCCTTTTTATTTTAATGTACTCTACCAATTGAGACAGTTAATATCCTTTATAACAACAATTTCTATTTTCAGAATTGTTTAGTTAAAGATGAGAAATTATTAGAAATTGTGAACCAGGCTAAAAGGGCACAGAGGGACACGCTGTTAATTTTTGGAAAATACCTCTTAAGAATCTGGATCCTCAAATTTTTTAAAATCTTCTAATACCATTACGAGAAGAGTTAAAAGATTTAACAAGGACCGATAAAGTAATTCTTTCATTATCCGAAGCGTAAATTTATATCAAATAGTAGGCTTTATGATAGTTATAATTAGCCCTTTGTTTGACTACTGACTTCATAGTGGGGAAGAACATCGGTCACAAAATGTCGAGAGGGGGTGGGGGAGGGAACAGAAAAGTTGTTCACGGATGTAAAAGAGACAGACAAACACAAAGGTAGAGAAAAGGATAAGGTGAGTGTTGTGGAAGGGGTGGAATATGACACACAGTGGGGTCGTGGTAGTTAGAAGTGTGAAGTCAACTGCCGGTTTATAGACTATTTTGCCTTTCAAGTACACGTTGCCCAGGGTGCACCACACGGTGGTAAGTTTAACGCGCACCCCTCATTTAAAGCTAAAGAAAACAGGGTTGGGTAGTTTAGACTGTAGTTGTTGGCCATTGTCATCTCATAACGAATCATATCAAGTGGATCATTAAACAGAGGTGAAATTAGTGGGCGTATCATACCAAAAGTGCACAAGTGATGGTAAAAGTACAGAGGTTAGGAGCGATCTATTTGTGCAGGGTATGTCCATAACTTTTTTCAATAAACTATTGCCAGATTTAAGATCTCATTCGAAACTTTGAAAAGTTATTAAAGGCAGGGAAAAATATTTTTTTCATATTTTTTTATACTGATTTATAAAATACAATACATAATATATAATTGAAACCAAATTTCGGCCTTTTAATGAACGTTAGTAGTCAGGTATAATTGATTGGCAGAAAATTGCAGGTTGATTGAAATGCGTTTTAAAAGAAGAGGGTATTTCAAAGACATATTTTTCCTAAATTTTTGAATTACATATTTTTTATCGGAATGATCTTACTTCGAGGTCACCGGGCAATTTAAGTATGTTCATATAAATTGCCATGAAGTGTGCTTTTTGAGACCAGTTCAAAACTATTGAAACTGGTATAATCGCCTTGGGTGCCACGTATTTGGCAATACTAACAATTCACAGGGTGTGTGCGATAGACTTACCTCCTCGTGGTGCACCCTGGGCAACGTATACTCATACGGCAAAAAAGGTCTATAAAGCGGCAGTCGACTTCTGACTCCAAACTACCATCACCCCACTGTATGTCAAATTCGACTACTTCAACCGTACTCATCTCAACTTTTTTCCAACTTTGTGTCTGTCTCTTTTACATCTTTGAAACACTCTTCTGTACCCCATCATCTCGATCTTTTCACTTTGATGTTCCTTCCCGCCTGTGATGGCTGAAGTCAACTAAAGGGCTAATGATGACTATCAACACGCCTGCCATTTCATATAAATAAACAATTCACATGAGTAATAAAAGGCTATACACGATCTAAGGGGCAGGATTTCTCAACCCTCTGGACTGCAGAATTTTGAATTACGAATTTTAAGTGATCCTGTGTTGGTGATAAAATCCAGCCACTGAAGTTGACTAGGAATGGAATGAATGACTGACTTATAAACATGAATATGAGATTCGGTGGATCCGTACGTCAGTGAATGACAACCTCAATTAACTTAATGGGTTTTTTACACTTTGATAGTGCCTTTTACTAGACTTAGATTGACATGTAATTAATAAAGTTCACTAATCCTTAATAATTTTTTGAGGTGGGAAGACATTTTGAGTTCCTTCGATTGAGAAATCATTTCAAAAAATTTCATGGGCCAGTATTAACTAATGGAGATATTCATTCGCCTTAGTGAATGTGCACTAATGAGCACTAATCTTATGATCTCTATGTCAATAACGGTACCAAAATTTCACCTCAAGTGAAATAATTATTTGTTTTAATCAAAACTGAAACATTAATATCAAGACTTAAAGTGTCTTTAGTAGACAACAATAAGAATGTAAGTAGCGCCATTTAACAAATATTTACTCAACGAATTCGAAATAGCAGCATATAACCAATAAAATAACTTTTTTTCTGCAATGTTAAAGGTTTTCTCAAAGACCTAACTGCTCATTTTCAGTACTGATTCTTGCCTGATATTTTGGGAGTTATTCAGGTTTTCCAATTAATATTATTTGCTAGCTTTCTTTTTTAGGGGAAAATAAAAGGCTATCTGAAATCGTTATTTTGAAAAAAAACTCCATTTTTTCAACCTTCATTTTGACCAGAATTGACCACATGGTCGTTACCAAGTCGAAGCTCTAAGTTAGCGTTCTAGTTCTATTGAATACCAATCTCAAAACATACTTCTTAAGGAAATCACAATTCCGCACTTTTTGATGTTATTACGAAGACGGTATTTGAAAAATGAAAGAAGAACACGAAGAAGGAATACGGTCTACGAGTATTATTCATGTGACTTGAAATTTGTTATAAAAATTCTCTCGCCTTTCCATATAAATGGTTGAATAAACTAGCTCTAAACTGAGATTATGCCAGTTTAAGTTCTTTAAGGAATTGAATTAATGACATGAAATATTATACTTATTGTTGTAACTTTTCAAACATGGCCCGATTGAAGCATATTTCTAACATGATTATTTTAACAAAACAAAGATGCTCTGCAAAAAGTTGGAATCTCTTAGGAGGCATAACAAATGGCGTACGTGTTAAAGATAAATTATTTCTTCCGGGTTCCAACCAATGAGAAGAGGGGAGCAAGTGCAAGCGTACGTGCTCCCCTCCTCCCTGGTGAACGTGGGCTAACTTCTGCACAGACAACGGTCACGTTTGCATCATGCTTTCTCCCCTAGACTGTGTATGACAGGCTTAGGTCAGAATCTTAAAACGTAGGCAATCTCTCTCATTTTTCCTCTTCAAATTATCGATTTTTCAGGTCTGTGCATACTTGTTATGGTTGCTCAATAGCTGACTTGTTATTTTAACGATTTATCAATTTTCACTCATTAATGTGTTGGGAAAAAATCAATATTTTCTCGATGATCCAAGTTAGGCGTTATTTAATTCAGCTGATTTAGCTTTCTTATTTCTAATATCCAGAGCGATTGAATGAATGCATGACAATTCTGTTCCGGACTTTATCTAGTCGGGAAGATTGGTAAGATAACTGTACACGAAGTTAACACCAATGAATTATTATGTGCATAATTAACTGGTTTCATTGTCAAAGCTATGAGTTATTATTGGTAGTTGAAAAC